GTGTTGCTCTCTTTGAGGTTAACATGGTGATCAAAAGCAGAAAAGTTTTTCCTATGGTGATTTAATGATAGTAGTTTTCGAGGCGTTAATATTTACAAGCCATACTTTGCCCAAGTTTAAACCTTTGTTCAGCCGAGAATTAGGAAGAACGTAATTAGAGAGTGTTTTGAAGGAAGAGAGGAGTATAGGAAATGGAATTACGGAAGAAATTGAGGAAATCAACTACTCCTCAAATCCTACACTAATTTACCTACTTGCCGTATTCTTAAGTAGAAGTAGTGTGTTGTCACCATAGTACGAAAGAAAAAGAAGACCTACTCTACGAGAGAAATTTTTGTAGGTCTTAAGGCATGAAACTGACTGTCATAATGCAGTTTTGATTTTTCACCTCACTCACTCACTCACTCACTCACTCACTCACTCACTCACTCACTCACTCACTCACTCGTTCACTCTCTCACTCTCACTTGCTTTCTCACTCCCCCCTCTCTCTCTCCCTTCCACCACGCAGATGCACGTGTGTTTGCGCATGTTTTGCGTGTTTTTTTTTTTAGTTTTTTTTAAGCGTTTTACCCCAAGCAAGGCGGGAAGCCAATAGGACGCAAGGGGTTACAGAAGATTTGGAGCAAGATCAGATAGGAGTGATAGAAGAAAGGATGAGGAGAAGGGTACTGGATAGATCAAGGCAACTGGAGATGTCGATTGACATTACATTTGAATAGTTGGAGATTATAGCTCTCAGGAAAACTAGAAGGGAGTTCCACAGTCGAGAAGTGCGAGTTATGAAGCTATTGGAGTAGAAGAGACGGCTAAATTTAGTAGTTTCGACAGTGAAAGGCTGAGTGCGTGATGCCAGCCTCGTAGGGCGCTTGAATTTATGAAGTCTGGGAACCAGCGAGGGCAGCTCCTCGGAACAATTGCCATGAAAGTATTTGTAAAAAAGACAGAGAGAGGCGACGGCGCGTCTGTGAGATAGTGACTGTAGACGAGATGCCAGATCAGGGCCAATTATATTGCATATCCGCCTCTGGAGCCTATCAAGGACCCCGAGGCAAACAGAAGGGGCTCCAGATCATATATGGCAGCAATACTCCATGCAAGGGGGAATTGTTGATTTGTAGATCTGGATGAAAATATATATATATATATATATATATATATATATATATATATATATATATATATATATATGTGTGTATGTATGGGAGGGCGCACGCGTTTGTACCTCTGCGTGTATGTGTCTATGTGTATATACGTGTATATCATTGTTCTCTCTCTCTCTCTCTCTCTCTCTCCATGCCGACGCACGTGTGTTTGCGCGTGTTTCACATTTATATATATATATATATATATATATATATATATATATATATATATATATATATATATATGTGTGTGTGTGTATATATATATATATATATATTATATATATATATATATATATATATATATATATGTATATGTGTGTGTGTGTGTGTTTCTGTGTGTGTGCGTTTATGCCTCTGCGTGTATGTGTATATGCGTGTGTATCCCTAAGATGTCGACAAACAAAAGGTATTATTTTTATAATTCTATTATCAATGTTCTTTTCTTTTTGTTTTAATGATGGTATTAAAAACATTATGGTTAACGTAAAGCGATTTTGCCGCCGCAGGTTAAAACGAGGAGAAATCCTTTTTGCCTTTCACGCTCTGTCGACTTTGCAGAATTATCGACGCGATAAATTCGTTTACTGATTTTGCTTTCATGAAATTTAAAAGTCTATTTATTTGGGGGAAATGTCATTCTTCTGCTTGTTTCTTTCGAAATCTGCAATGGAAGGGAATAAAAATATGAACAGATGGATTATTTTTTTTTTATAAGCGACTTGAGAAATATAAAACTCACTGCATAACATCAAAGGTTGAATTAATACGCCGAGAACTTTAGTCATGGCATCACAACTCAGTGCTACTGTATCGCATGTTCTTTGAAAACTATTATAAATGTATTACATATGAATGTCTAGTTGCGTCATACGGCTTTCGTTTTTTAATTAAGCGTTGATTTTTCCCGTTTATAGATAGTTATAACCTTAGACTACTTTGTCACGAGATCAAATGGAAAAAAGTTAATAGAGAAATAATATTTTTCTTTTAGTAATTGTTAGCGCCTATGCCCAAGAGTAACTTAAGCTAGAGGATTAGTGATACATTTGAAGCACGTGGTAAGAAATGCAGTTTTATGTGACAAAGATAATGGTTAACTCTAGAACTGAAAGGGGTAAAATTGAGGTGATCCGAGAAGCATCCTATCGGGAGTCTATTCCATAATATTGCGGTTCTTTTAGAGATGCTATCAGAATAGAACTTATTTTTTACCAAAGGAAAGGAAACTGAATGGCTTCGTGACATACCGTGTCTTAGTTGTGATGGTCACAACTGATGGAACTAAGAAATGCAGCTCGTCAGAATATTTATTATGGAAATAGTAACAGAACAGCGATAGGCTTGCAAGGTTTTGTCTGTGGGATACGGGTTATAGATTAATAATGGAAAATAAGAACACATGGCACAGTGGATAAAGGCGTCAGATCCAGTGACAGGACCCAAAGAGTGTGAGTTCAATACTCGGTTAAGGCGGTGGAGAACTTGGAGAGGGGAACTAATAGATTAACATAACTGATAACTGATATCCATTAAACATGGCACGTGGGACTAGAACAGTCTAACCCAGTGAGCAAAAGAAAGGGTTCAGTTCGACATTCCAAACACCTGAAGAAGGCCGGAGCGTACAACGGCCGAAACGTTGTAATAAATATGGCGACAAAGATGAGGACAATAGTCCGAATAATGTAAATAGTGTCAAAAATATTTTAAGAGAAAGATTTTAACAGAAAGAAGTTGCTCGGTCAATAAATGTGAAATATTTCCTTATATGGAAATGGCTAATATTACCATTATTATTATGTTATAGTAATGACCAACTTTGAAATTACTTTGAAAATCTGTTTGGGAGACCTATGAACACATAAGATGAACATCTGTTTTGCAATGAAGTTAGTAGCAAAAAATCAAATCAAATCAATATATATTATGCCTTTGAAGCTTTCGTGAGCAGCATCTTTATAATAGCCGTATTGTGTCCTGGTCAAGACGATAAACTACGTCCAAGATCAAGGCCTCTGGTCAAGAGGGTTTGAGTAGCGTGGAACCACCGCTTAATTGCTGGTGATACCAGGGCCATCCTACCCCGGTGTGGTAGCATCTGCTAGTGTCCTAGCTATGGACAAATAGTTAACCTCCAAACTGGGGTCAAAACACTATGAAAGTATAAAAATAGGTTTTAATTCGGAAATACCCTGTAAAAAATTATTACCAGTGAAAAATGTTTAAAGAAAAATTATTGCCAGCAATACATTATTACTAGCAATACATTTTTGAAAAAAATATATATACACAGTCATAATTTTTGAAAAAAACAAAACAAAAAAGCAACAAAATTACCAGATATAGATTTGAAAAAAATATATTACCAGCAATAAAAATAATGTCGGCATTAAATAAACCAGTGAAGTTAATTTGCCGTAAAACAAAAACAAAACAAACAAAACAAACAAACAAATAAACAAGATAGTTGTATTATTTATCCGCCTTTCTATAAATCCGTCCCTTTTTATAGTGCGTCTTATAGGCAGTGAAATGCGGACTATTTGCTTTATGGACTGAGGAATATCAAAACAAAATGATGTCTTAATATTTTCTGAGTGAAAATGAATAATCTTAATTATTACACATATTTTATCATCATATTTCAAAATTATTATTTTTTTATTTCATTTTCTTTTCATAACTTCGAGAATTGTGAAAAGTACATCTGCAATGACGTTTCTCTCGAATTAGTCTGACACTTACAAATTATGCCCTAATCTTTATATAATAAAAGGCTCAAGAGCCATTCAATGTAGAGGCTTATTGCTGAAATTGTTATGATGAATGTAGCCAACAATAAGTTGATTGTTTAACAGTTATTTAACTTGATAATTGAGTTCACCCATATAGTGAAAACCTGCGTAAATAGAGAAAAATGACGATTTTTATTGGTTTCTTTTTTATTTTTCGTTGATATTTCAACCAATATTAATCAAACTTAAAATTGCTTTATATATATATATATTCTCTTTTACATGCCTGGCAAATTGAATTTCACGTTGCCTGTTTTACGACTTCATCTCCTCGGCTAACTTCGATTGAATAAATAAAATACTTCTGTTATATCAGTAACTGCGTTAATTGAAAATGTTTTTAAATGAAAGTACTTTAAATAATTGAAGAATATAGACTATATTAAATCTAAAAATGATGCTGTTTTTGCTGCATTCCAATTGAACGCTTTTTCTGATCGACCAGCTTGGGTATGGCTGCTAGTATCCTAATTTTTGTTCTAAGCTGAGACGTGTAAAGATAAAGTCTGCAGAGGGAATCAGATACTACCTGGAGCGATAGAATGAACAAACTATTTTTCCAGAAACTTTAACAATGTCCCATATAAATGTGTTTCACGAAGACTTGAATGAAATTGACATAAAGTACACCAAGGCATCTCCCTAACCAACAAAAACGGTAGCAAAGATACTGCAAAAGTGAACCTTGCATTATCATGGTAGATGCATTAAAACACAATCGGCCTGAACATGATATTTCGTATGAATTATTGTATAAATAAAAAATAAAAAAAAATATCTAAAATTAAAGTTGTCGAGGAAGACAAGAAAGTGAGAATAAAACATATTTGGGGTAAAAATAATGTCTGGATGTCATTAACTTTTATGGTTAAAATGCATGGCATTTTTGTTCATTATTCCATCCCAACCAAGGCGATGAAGCCACTAACACCCAAGTGGGTTAGTGAGAGTGAAACTAACTGAGAAAACGTTACTGAAGAGAACGGCTTATAAAGGAAAAAAGTTAAAAAAAAAAGGTAGAACAATATTAGCGATGCATTTAAATATTTAAATGCTTATGACATTCTATTCTTATCTATCTATCTATCTATCTATCTATCTATCTATCTATCTATCTATCTATCTATCTATATCTCTCTCAATTAGTATCTATATGCCTATTAATGTCAATATATTCTTATCTTTCTTTCTTTCTCTGTCTGTCTGTCTGGCTGTTTATGTCACTCTATTCTTATTTATCTATCTATCTATCTATCTATCTATCTATCTATCTATCTATCTATCTATTAATCTTTATCTGGCTGTTTATGCCATTTTTTCTCATCTAGCTTATCTCTTCTCTCTCTCTCTCTCTCTCTGGTTGTTTATGCCACTTTATTATTATTATCTATATCTCTCTCTATCGGTCTGTTTACGTCACTCTTCTTATCTATCTATATCTATCTATATATCAATATATCTATATACGTCTCTGGCTGTTTATGTCACTTTATTCTTATCTATCTATTTTTCTCTCACTCTATCTATCTGTCTGTTTATGTCACTCTATTCTTTATCTATCTATCTATCTATCTATCTATCTATCTATCCCTCTCATTCTTTCTCTCTTATGAGATTTATCGCCCTTCTATTCATATGCAATGACATTTTATTATTTTTCCTTTTTAATACCTGATTTTACAACTTTTTCTTTCCTTTCTTCTTGTCAACTTTCTTCATTGTTTTTCCTTCTTTTTTTTATATTTTATCTCATACTCTATGGTTTCCGTATTCTTCCCATCATATAATCCCTTTTTCTTTCTTTAATCCACAGAGCCTTTAACAAAATAAAATTTAAAAAAAATAAAACATAATCATCCCTCATCCACCATATTGCCGTGCGGTGGGGGCTAAATTTTCTGTTTAGCCAGTCAATGGTCCGTGCAATTGCATTATCTGCCCGATTACTTCTCCCGCCTCACATCCAGCCCAAGTGATCGGCACAAAATGTCAAGAAATCTCGTTCGAGATTTCCCCGACAGCAAAAATACAACTACAAATAAACAACACCAACTACTTTTAATCTCAGTGTGCTTGTGTGTGGTGGGGAAAGGGGTTTTTAAGTATTTTTTCTCTTCTGTATTTAAATCTGAATATATCTGAAAAAATGTAACATTTTATAATTCATTTTCTTTTTTGTCATTTTTACGCAGGTGGTCTATTCGTAGAGAAGTATTACGGCGTTGAATATTTATTGAAAAATTCGCAATTCGACTTGGAAGAATTTTATCGAAAAGCCAGTTCCCTTGTACATTCTAACTCTGTTTTCCTCCACATTTTTACACATTATGAGATGAAGTACTATCGGAATGGTGCAAGAGATATAGGTTATCTCTTCATTGCATGAAAGTCAAAGAATTCACCCAATTCATTCCCGACATTCACGGGTTCCGTAACCAATTAGTCTCCTAGGGACACCACGTACTGCAGCCGTAGTAGCAACAGTGCTGTATCCTAGGCAAGACAGCTTAACAGATCCTGAGACTCTCCAAGCTAGTTTGAATTCAGAGTTTTCATTCTCCTAGTCTACTCGCCAACCAAGGTTATAGCATTGAGTCTACCCTGCTATTTACCATATTTGCCAATAGCATTTCAAAATCCCTTCGTATAGATTCAAGTAATAAGAATATGGAAAAGAACATTCATGACTAGTGACTGTTTCAAGCAGATTACAAGATTTTAGAAGAAGATCTTTATTTCTTTTAGAAATAAGAATTATAATCATTATAATTTTATCTTAATATTATAAATATTATTACCTTATTTTAGTAAGACAATAATTAAAAATACTATTTTAATTATATTTCAATTGAATTCCTCTTGGTTTCCCAGAAAATGATCAGTAACGTTGTTATAGAAATCTGATCATCATCTAATTTGACACTGATTACAGGATGCTATGCGTAGTGTGACTTTAGTTTTCCCTTAAATCTACCCTATACTCTGGAAGTTTCATATCATTTTATAAAAAAAAGGGATTTCTGTAAACTGAAGTTTGCATTTCAGATTATTAAAGACGAATGTAAAATTCTGGTGATATTTAAATAGGTATAATTGTTCGGATTATCGTTAAAACAATATATGATACAATTGAAATATATATGTTACCTCTAATAAATTAATATATCTTTAATTTTGTACTAAATAATTTTATAGGGTAAGCCACGCGCACATTCCTTCTTTAGAAATACACGCTACTGTTGGTGACTTCAGTCATTTAAGTGCCACATGTGTTACATATCTGGGCTATAATGTCTTGGGCGATAATGTCTTTTTCGTTTCCTGATTGTCTAGTCATTTTTTCCCGCGGTAGTTTGCCAATTATTTCTGTGATGGACTGGTTTTCAACCAAGGCTATATGACACAGCCTGTCCGGCTATTTACCCATTGCTGAGAGAGAAGAGATGGATTCATGCCTTTCTCAACATTATTTGCGGATAAGTGAATGTATCGAACTCGACTGGAATTCGAACTCGGCTCTCTGACTTCTCATTCCAACATGATATGCATTACACCATAAAAGCGATGACTTACATATGCTAAAACGATCGAAGTACTGTGAACCCATAGAAATGAACTCAGTGTAACTAACATGTATAAACAACTTCTGGGACAAGTATGAAATAATTTTAAGTCTTGAAAAGTTAGTTTACTTAATAAAAGAGGAATATTAATCCACCTGCCATGATTTCAAATTCTGGTTTAAAAATCGATTAAAAATTTTAGTCTAAATGTCAGAGTTCAGATATCACGGGATGCACTTCATTCGTTAGTCCTTTTCAGACTTTATTCCTTTTTACTCAGAATATGTCTTTTTATTTAAACATAAAATAGAAGAAAGAGAGAGAGAGAGAGAAACAAGAGGGAGAAAAAGAGGAAGAAACGAGAGAAAAATGAGGGAAAATCGAGTGCTAAGAGAGCAAAAAGACAGAGAAAAAGAGGGGGAAAATAAAGAGCAAAAAGGGGGAGAAAAGGAGAAAGAAAAAGAGGGGAAAAGAAAAATAGAGAAAAAGAGGGATACCAAAGAGAGGATGAGAGATAAATAGACTGAAAGAAAGGAGAAGAGACAGTAAAAAGAGAAAGCAAAAAGAAAGAGAAAAAGAGAGAACAAAAAGAGAGTGACAAATGAGATAAAATAGAGGGAAAAGTGACAGAAAGCAAAATAGAGAGAAAAGATGGAGTCAAAAGAGAGATCAAAAGAGAGTGTAAAAGCGAGAGAAAAAGCAGAGAGAAAAAGACAAACAAAAAGAGATTGCAAAAAGAGAGAGAAAAAAGAGGGTAAAAAGAACAGAAATAGAAAGCAATGAGAGAGAGAGAGAGAGAGAAAGAAAACATAGAGAGAAAAAAGAGAGAGAAAAACATAGCAAAGAGAGAGAGAGAGAGAGAAAGAAAACATAGAGATAAAAAAGAGAGAGAAAAACATAGCAAAGAGAGAGAGAGAAAGAGAAAGAAAACATTGAGATAAAAAAGAGAGAGAAAAAGATAGCAGAGAGAGAGAGAGAGAGAGAAAAAAAAGAGAGAGAAAAGAAAGCAAAAGAGAGAAAGAAAAAAAAAAAGAGAGAGAAAACAGAAAAAGAGAGAGAGAAAGAAAACATAGAGAAAAAAAGAAAACATAGCAAAAGAAAGAGAGAGAGAAAGAGAGAAAAAACATAGAGAAAAAAAGAGAGAGAAAACACAGCAAAGAGAGAGAGAGAAAGAAAACATAGAGATAAAAAAGAGAGAGAAAAACATAGCAGATAGCAGAGAGAGAGAGAGAAGAGAAAGAAAACACAGAGAGAAAAAAGAGAGAAAAAGAGAGCAAGAGATAAAAGAGAGAGAGAAAACATAGAGAGAGAAAGAAAACATAAAGATAGAAAACGAGAGACAAAAAAAGAAAAGAGAGAGAGAGAAAAAAAAAAACAGATAAAAAAAAGAGAGAAAAAAGAAAAAGAGAGAGAGAGAGAGAAAAAGAGAGAAAAAAAAAAAGAGAGAAAAAAAGAGAGAGAAAAAAAAGAAAAGAGAGAGAGAGAGAGAAAAAGAGAGAAAAAAAGAGAGAGCAAGAGAAGAGAGAAAAAGAGAGAAAAAATGAAAATGAAAAAAAAAAAAAAAAAAATGCGAGGGCGGGAAATGTCGATTAACTCTTTCGGTTTGTTCTACAAGTTGGTGCGATGTTATAATTTGTAAAGGAGAAATTTTTAGTTCCCCATCTCCAAGTAACATGAAACATGCACTACATGAAACCAGTTTTTGACTAATTCCGGGATGGAAAGATAATTGGAAATTAATACGAAACCTTTCATACCATGTTTAGGGCGAAGGTGGCTACGTGCTCATGCATATCTTATTTGCAATATAAATTAAACATGTAAAGCCGAGTTACATTACACCAGAATTATTACAGAATTTCTCTCTACTAAAACATCAACTAATTTGACAGTGCATTGGCAAGAATTTGAGCAATGAAACAAAACACAAATAAATGTCGTTGCATGTCTTAATAAAGAATAATACTATAAAAATGATAAAGGTTTACAGCAGAGATGTTGTCAGTTCCCTGATTTCTGTTATAGATGCTGATCAAGGTTATTTTGATCGAAAGAAATAGCTAATTGAAGAGGGATAAAAGAAAAAGAAAGAAAGATTTAACGAAACAGAATAGGTCATTTTGTAGATAAAGATATGGAAATAGGAGGAAAGAGAAATGACTCTGTGAAAGGACTTGCGATTCGTACAAATAAGATGGAACATTTAAAAATCTTGTCAGGTCGGACGATGAAGAAGAAAAATAAAGAAAGAAAGAGAAAAGTAAGAGAATTTAATGAGCTAGTTTAGGAAGATATCATATTCGTCTGATTTTCATTTATTTTTTATATTTTATCCTTTGGCTATCCTTCATGGGAAATGAAAATGATCGTTTGTTGAGTATGACGTAGTTTCGGCCATAAAGCCAACCGAAGCAAAATCGTCAAAACATTACAAATCTCCATTTCACTGAAGAATAGCGAAAACGACAAAGGCTAAGATGAGAAATAAATGACTCTATTGTGACTGATGTTTGGATGTTATGACTTTTACGCGCATGTAGACACACACGCACACATAGACGCTCAAATAACGCGCGTGCGCGCGCATACACTCACAGACAGACAGACAGACACACACACACACACACACACACACACACATATATATATATGTATTTCTTGATATATGTTTTTGTTTATACGTTATTTTTATAGATACAAATATTTAAGTTAAGGTGCTGTTTATTATACACAGTATTAACACGATTTACCGGCCTGATTGTCCGATATATCTCAAAGAAAATATGTGTCCTCCGAAAGGAATCGAATCTGTATCCTACACTGAACCGCCATATAGTCTGACGTGATATACTATTTAGCTACAGTGGAAACGTGTGGTTAGCAAAGTTAAATTAACGCTTATGAACTACAAATTACCCATGATTTCTTTAGAACGCTCATATCTCTCAAAAGCACATCTTAATGTAAACAAATGACATAATATATTATAAAACAGACAAAAAATTCGGACAAATATTTTAAGACATCTCTTATGTTTATACGTTCTTTTTATAGATACAAATATTTTAAGTAAATGCTTTGTAGTTCAAAAACGGTAATTTAACCTTGCTCA